ATTTAAATATACGATTTAGATATCATCAAAATTTATCTAATCTAATCTTACCCAAATATTATATATGTATTATCATTTGGGCTCTAAATTTGGTCCCAAAATTTGGTCAGTGTAGCATTACTTATAATTCTATCTTCTGAGAGTTTGACTTGAACGACTATATATATATATATATATATCGAATAATAACATAATAAATCTAATACCTATTAATACCCTAATCTCTCTCTATATCATATTCTCATCTCTCATAAGTTTATCACATCTCTCATATAACTCTCTCTCTAAACACTTGTCAACACACACATATCAATATCGACTCCTACAAAAAATATATATATATTTTTTAGGTATAATAATTAAATATATAAATTGTATATATGTTGATATTTTTTGGAGGTCGTGTTTTTAAATAAGTTTTGTCAAAATTTTTTAAAAAATAGTGTTTTTAAATTAATTTTGATTTGTATAACTAAAGAAAATAATAAAAAAAATAAAGTATTTTTGAAATATTTATATTGCATAACCGGTGATCAAGGTTTTTTGAGTTGCTTAGTGCCTTCAGGCACAGGTTATTACTAGTATATATATATATATATATATATTTTCATCTTCTAGCACGAAATATCTCTACTTTTACTCTCTCTCGCTCTCTGTAAACTCCTATTTTACCTCTCATTATTATTATTAATTTTTACATATTTGTTTTCTCAAATAACTATCAATGATGACTGAGTAAATTAAGGAAGGATGTTTAAGTAAAAAAAATTTTAATTCATTTTGAATTTTGTACCTAAACACAAAAAATTTTATAAAAATTGTACTTAATAGAATAAATAACTTATCCATATATTTTTGCTCAAATAAATCTAAAAAATTGTACCCACACCAAAAAAAAAAAAAAGGGGGGGGGAAATTGAACTTTGTTGTGATTTGTCTGTGAATACAATCTGGGTCCGGGCCCACCAAGAATCAAAAGATGGAGAAGCCCATGCCGTGCCATGACAAAGCCGAAGAAGGCAATCAAACATACATGTTGGCTGTTGCTCTACGTCTTCTGTTGAAATGACGACTATATCCTTGAATTGAATTGATAAATACTGACAAAGCAATTCGAATATTTTCTATCATCTTGTCGGCTTCTTCACTCTCTTTCTCTTGCTTGCAGAGACTTGTGTGTTTTTCGCTGCGTTTATTAGTCTGATCTCCAAAGAATCTTAACTTAGTTCAATCAAGTTATTCGCCTGATCAGGTACAACTCTTCTTCGCATACATAATTCATATATTTGTATATTCTGAATCATTGAAGTGTGATCTACCCAATAATTTCCATTTTATCACTCTCACTCTTAGGGTTGTTCGCTCTGTCATTAGATTTCTATGTTATTCGCTCACTCATTACATTAGATTTCTTCTCTTTTAAGCATGATCACCTTACTTGATACTCCTGTCTTGTTTAGTCAAAGTCTTTCTGAATTACTCAAATTAATAAGGTTTTCGGTCATCTTGTTATTGTCAATTTCAAGTTTCAGTCCCATTCTAGTTTGCAACTAGTTAATCAAAGGTACCTTTTGTAGTGCTTTTTTAAATACTAGCAATTGCCCTGTGTAATAAATTAAAAAAAAAAACTTAAAATCACATAACTTGAAGCCTTTACCATGAAAACTCAAATTGAGATCATAGAACAAAGCTTGACAATGGCTATATCTACAAGCATGTCAAGAACTTTCACATCAGTCTTGACATCGTACTTGTCTTTTGGTACATTAAACTCTTTTTTTTTTTTTAAATTAAACCCAGTTAGGTGCCAGTTTTATTACTGATCTAACTTTCCCCAAAAAATCTTCAACCATTTCAACAGTGGACTTCATTCTCCTTTTGCCGAAAATAAAGCAGAGATATGAGAACTATGCTTCTCTCTTTGTGATCTGCCCTACATCCCGAGATTCTATCCCTTAGAAGTGTCCATTATTTTTGGAACCAATCCACCAGTGAGAAAAAGGAAACCGAGATTTGAGATGTCAAATTTTCTGGGATCCTAGCTTGTTATAAGACCGTTACTTATCATCAATTGACTAATCATAACAGTATGAAGCCATTAAGCAATTCAAAAACATTCCAGTTCATTATTCAGACTATGATTCAAAGTCGCGGTATTAGCCATCGACTCGAAGAACACTGATGTACACGCGTCGTGGCGCAGTATCGATCGATTCGCTCAAAACGCTAAATAAAAACTTCAAAAAATTTTGAAAAAATTATAAAAAATTTTGCAAATATAAACATCATCATTCATACATTATATGTCCACAATACGTCAAAAAACACATTAAATATAATTAAAATGAAATATAAGGACGCTATGGAAATATATAGTTCTATTTTTCTTTCTTCTATTTTAGTTTTTCACTTATAATTTTTTTGATTTTTGAAAGACAATATTTGAAATATTTATTCATTAAATAAGTAATTTAAATATAAAATTAATGTAATTGTAACATTTAATTTTAAATAATCTGAAATAGAACATATATCCACTCATTATATTAAATTGAAAAATAATTATTTTTTTAATTATTATTATAAAATATTAATGTATCTAATTATTACATTAAAAATTTTAATAATTTATGAATGAGTGAATTTAATCCAAGTAAATTTAATCCAAGGTTTTCAAAATATTTCTCATACCAAAGAAATAGAGAGGTTGCTCACTGGTGGTTGGTCGCTGCACACAGAGGGAGAGAGAGTGAGAGGGGATAGACAAAGAGAGGAGGTGTTGGAGCGAGGGCGCACATAGAGGAGAGGGGTGGGATGGGCCAGGGTGGATTTTTGGTGGGTGTATATGTGTGTGTCAAGTTTTAGGGGAGACATGACAGAAATGGGTACGAACCAAGAAGGGAGAGAAAGAGAAAGGAGAGAGAAGGCACCGATTGATTTAGGGGAATTAGGGTTGATTGAGGGATGAGGAGAGAGAGTCCACATGATAGAAGGATGGGCGGGAATCTGAAAATTCCTCTGTTAAAATTAATCATCAAATTAAATTTTAAGAAATTTAGATAAATTTGAACCATGAAAAATAAAAGACATTTTTTATGTCTTAAGAGATTTAAAATTCTTTGTACTTTATTATATACTAGTTATTATTTGTGCCTGAAGGCACAAAGTAATAAAAAATGGTAAACAATAAATATATTTGTATTCATATCCAAAATCAAATCACAAACATAAAGAAAAGATAAAATAATTTAAGCATCGATTTGTAGTGGGGGTGAGAGGTGGTGGGTGACAGTAATGGTGGTGGTAGGAGACAGTGATGGTTTTGGTAGGTGGCAATGACTGTGGTGGCGGCAGCAGCGGTGGTGGTGGCGACGACGGTGGCGTTGGTGACGGCGGCGGTGATGGTAGTGGTGGTGGTGGTGGTGGTGGCGATGGTGGTAGAGGTAGTGGTAAGACGATTTCAAACACTAGTTTTAAAAAAAAAATATTTATGAGAAATAATTTCTAGAAGTACTTTTAAAAAGTTACTCCAAACACACCCTTAAGGGTCTTTTTTTTCTATTAAATTTAGGGTGTTAATATTAACCGTTAGATTAACTTTAAAGTAAAATTTAAATCGATCTCAACCGTGAATAGCAAAAGTCATTTTGTTTATCTTTTGAGATTTGAATTCTAAGCTACTTTATTATATAGATATGTTTGAGTAATGCTACAGGAACTTAAAAGATAAACTTAAAAATTAGACTTGATAATTACAACCATTGATTTCACTGTGGGTCCAAGCATTTATTGGGACCCACTACCTATTCAATGGTTGAGATTATCAAGTCTAGTTTTTAAATCTAATTTACTCTATATGTTTTTACTTTCTCGGTTTGCTCCTACTTAATTGCATGTATATGTATAGTATGCATATGCATATATTGTATTATTTATACACTAAGATGCATGTAGATAAATTTTACAAAATATTAATAAAGTATTTTTTAAAATTTTTCAATGAAATTGTTTATTTGCTTAAAAAATGTTACTTCAAAAACAGAGGTACCAATCAGTATATCAGATTTAGAAGAGGACTTGTATACTTGTGGTGAGAATATTTGTTGTGGAAGAAATGTTGCTATTCTTTGTGCTTGATATTGGAATTAATTCAATTAGTAGGCTAGTAACCAATGGTGTGAAATTATTGTTCATTTTTGAATGATACATTTACTTATAATCTCTTTTTTGGGCATGATACCTAATATACTGAGTGGTGAAAGGCGCTTTTGAAATCAATGGGATGACATTAGCCATTTTGAACGGAAATCAAAGGGAGGAAAGATTGTAAAGTCATTTGGTAGGACTATGGACGGACATTTAATTGAAGATATTTGATTTAGATTGCAATATTACGCATGGATGGTCGGGTGGATAATCTTGTCACTCTATTTTTTTGTTGATATGCAAAGGTGGATCACTATTACAAATACAAGATAGCACCATTACAATGAAGTCTAAACAAATCACAATTACAAATAAAGCGAGAAAGAAACTCAAAAGAAGAGCAAAATGCAATCCTCAAAGAGAGGCACAATATGAGATTGATACTCGCCTTTGGCAAGAATTCACCCCTTGAGCTCTTGGGTGGGAGTATCAAGGGAGGCCAATTAAGCTAAGCCCAGTTGGTTCTATTGTCATTCTAAGATATTATTTGAGCAACACATACATATTTTTTCTGATTTAGCTGTATATAACGGTCTAACATGCTAATTGTGTTTCTCAAGGACTTAAAAATATTTTCTAAGTTTCAACTTAACTTAGGAATGGATGGCAACGTTGGAATTTATTTTCAGGATGAGAAAGATGTATATTTACTAACTCACTCTCTGGGAAGTCTCTTGAAATCAAAGTACTTTATATCAAGCTCATGCTCCTGTGAACTGATTAAAATTCATGAAATCGCACCACCAAGAAATTAATGGAAAGTCGGAATGGACATTAATTAGTTGTCATGTCTGCAGGTTAAATGGCAGCTGAACTGGTCAATGTGAATGAGTTTCAAGAACTGGCAAGGCAAGCCCTTCCCAAGATGTACTATGATTTCTACAGTGGGGGAGCTGAGGACCAGCACACACTGAGGGAAAATGTGGAAGCATTTCATAGAATCATGTAAGTTGTTATACCTATCATTGTTACCAGTGAACTGGATACAGTATTTATAACATCACTTTCTATAATGCCAGCATTCGACCAAGAATTCTTGTAGATGTTAGGAGAATAGATATGTCAACTACAATATTGGGGTACCATACTTCAGCACCCATCATGATTGCTCCAACTGCAATGCATAAGTTGGCGCACCCTGAAGGTCTCCTTTCTTTTATGAGAGTTTTTTTGACCGAGTTAGATGTGTAGTTTTGATTCCAGCTGTGGATTATGTTTATTCCAGGGGAGGTCGCAACAGCCAGAGCAGCAGCTGCTTGTAACACCATAATGGTACTATTTTTCAGAGTTGAAGCTAATTTGTCTGATTTGGTTGCTTAAATTCTGGGTTTTCTTTATTTCAGGCATTGTCCTTTACGTCTACCTGCACCGTGGAGGAGGTTGCTTCCAGCTGCAATGCTATTCGCTTCTTTCAGTTATATGTATTGCATTTTCTCTGGAGCTCTTATACTTCTAAATTTGTTTATTGATTCCTATCTTTCTTAAGCAGCACTGGCTGGTTTTTATCTTGTACACACATTCATGGGAACTGAATTCATAATTTGGTACATCTCTCGATACTTAATAGGTGTACAAAAGACGTGATATATCAGCTCTGATGGTACAAAGAGCTGAAAAGAATGGGTTCAAGGCTATTATTCTTACTGTTGATACTCCTAGACTAGGTCGAAGGGAAGCAGACATCAAGAACAAGTGAAACTTCATATCCCTTTCTTTTAGATTATATTTTCTTCCTACAATTGGAATATTATTCATTGCTATTTTCAGTATATCCTCTATCCACTGCTATCTTGGATCTTATGTTTTAATAATTCTGCCAATCCTTTCCTCTGTATTATTTGTGACCTTGCTGAAATCATTTATGCAGAATGATTGTACCCCAGCTGAAGAATTTGGAAGGTCTCTTGTTAGCTGAAGTTGTCAGTGTGAGTAGAATAATTCTGTATTTCTATTTTTATTTCTATTCCCAATTTTAGCGTCGAAAAATAGTTACAAATGACAGATGAATTTATTTTATGGCAAATTCTGACAAGCACTACACGTTCCTCCACTTGTTGCTACTCTCTCTCTCTCTCTCTCTCTCTCTGCTCGGTAATGATAGAACTTGTTAATTATATCAACAATACAATACAAGTAATAGGAGTCCAACTGTACCAAATACTAAAATACAGAATATTCATCCCAAGGAGCCATGCCTCAATATACACACATAACAAACCACTAGGAAGAATAAACAACGACTACGTAAAAAAACCAGCAAACTTGTAAGTATACAATCAATGAGTTCCCATAGAATGCAACTTTCAATTGGTATAACCCCAGAACCACATGTAGTGAGGCATGGACAATATAAATACGGCACTGTCCCCCAATCAAAGCATATTGTCAAGAATGATTGAATGAAGATGGACTCATTATTGACCGGCAACATTAATTTAAATGCAGCCTTGTGGCATAGAAACTGACCAATACTGACCGACTCTGTGAGCAGTAATGCTACATCTATTTTAGTATTTTATCCTGCTTTGGGGAGAATTGATTACAAAAATCTCTTAAAAAATTACATACTTTTCTCTTTAAAATTTCAAGGCAGCCACAGTATCAGCTGATCCCAAGGATTAGACTTCTCACCCCTATCCCAGATGATTCCAAGAACTAGAATTCACCTTCATTAGTCGACAATGAAAGAGGAGATGGTTATATGGTTTCATTTCCATTCTACAAATAAATGAGACCCCTAGTGATAATAGGTTTAGATACAAGCCTCTGGCAATCCGTGCTAGATGGCCAGCCAACTTAAAGCGGTGGAGAGGGGGCAGATCCTTGTCCCTTGTCTGCCTTATGTAATTAATCATGAGTTGAAAATAAAGTTCAGTTGCTCTGAACTAATAATGCATTTTTAGGTTGTTTACATTTAGCTCTTGCTATTCATTAATTAATTTTCCAAATTCCTGCTTTTACAGATAGTGTAAATATTTGTGATCATTTTGCAATTCACAGGCAGATGAATCTTTTTGAGAATAGCTATGCTGAACATAAATGCAAGGGCTTTGAAAACATGAACACCTTGTGTTTCTTATCAAATGTATAAGGAGACTTGTCTATGCTGTTTTTCTATTAATAAGACTCACGATAAAGTTACTCTCCACTATTCAGACAGACACACACCTACACACAGAGAGAGTCTTGCTATTCATTTAGCTCTTGCTATTCATTAATTAATTTTCCAAATTCCTGCTTTTACAGATAGTGTAAATATTTGTGATCATTTTTCCATTCACAGGCAGATGAATCTTTTTGAGAATAGCTATGCTGAACATAAATGCAAGGGCTTTGAAAACATGAACACCTTGTGTTTCTTATCAAATGTATAAGGAGACTTGTCTATGCTGTATTTCTATTAAAAAGACTCACGATAAAGTTACTCTCCACTATTCAGACAGACACACACCTACACACAGAGAGAGTCTTGTCATGCCTCTTCACAGCTATAGGATTTTCCTATTCTGCTGTGCAATAGCATACATGTCGTGGATACTCCCCTATGTATTTAAGTGTTTGAGTTTATGCACCTTTGCATATATGTTTATCCATCGCTGAAAAGCATAGGTTACCTTGAAAAAATCATATTCCTTTTATTTCTTCATTTTGCAGGAGAAGGGTTCCAATCTTGAAGCTTTTGCATCGCAGACTCAAGATGCTTCCTTGTGTTGGAAGGTATAAAGCAATAATTTACTTCTGGGGACCTTGTAATCTGTCTTTGAAGAAACCTATCATGGAAGGTGTTAGTGTTGGACCAGACATTTCATTTTCTTGGAAGCACCAATTAGGATATCTGAATTATCCTGCGACCCAAAATAAACTGTTCTGCTTATGTGGGAAAGTATGTACTTGATACAGTTATCAAGGACAGAAGAATAAAACCAAAAGCGCCTGATATCTCACACTCCTCTCTGAGTTTTTTAGTACTTTTTTTTGAACATTAATGGCTGGGAGTAATGTGCTTTAATTAGATTTTAAGGAACTTTGCAGGATATAGCATGGTTAAAATCCATTACAAACTTGCCGATTTTGATCAAGGGAGTACTCACTCGTGAGGATGGTAAAATAATGACGCTCTTTTAGTTTTTTGCATCCCCTCATCTTTATACTTTGTATAGACTATGGCCCTTTGAGAATACGAGTTGGTTAGCATATCCTTTCAAAAGCTGTCTCCTTACATGCTCTTAGAAATTGAGAGATACTCTATTTTTATAAGTATCTCTTTTTCTACTAATATTTTCCAGAATTGAACATATTTGTTGAAGATTTGGCATACATTGTTGGCAGCTATAAAGTCTCTGGAAGTAGGAGTTGCAGGAATTGTTGTCTCTAATCATGGAGCTCGCCAGCTAGATTATGTTCCAGCCAGTATTACTGCTCTAGAAGAGGTGAGACTCAATTTCTGCTCTTCAGAGTTCAGATTTAATGGTGTTGGATGCAGATGCGCCAGCATATTGAAGTGGCATCAAGTGTAATCAAAGAACTTGCATTGCATGTGATTGGTAGAAATGAAACATGGGGATGGAATGACAACATGGGGATGGAATGACCATTACTAATTAATATCAATCCAATGTTTGGTTTGCAGTAATTTTAAAGTTCATTCTCATTATCGTAGAATGTTTAATCCCACTTGTGTAGGATTTGTAATTTTTTAATATGAGGTGGTATTATCCATTATCAAATGCCACCACTTGCCGCCACCATGACTACCAACCACCACCACCACCCCACCTACACCTCCAGGTCTAGGTTAGGTCAGGCCGAGTTTGGATCTGAATCTGGGGTCAAAGTCAGGTCTTCGGAGCCCTTGAATTGGTCTCGGTCTATGTCTATGTCTAGGTCGGTGTCGGGGTCCAGGGTTTGGGGCTGAATCCCGGGTCAAAGGTTTCGAGGTTGTGGCATAGAAAATAGTTGTATTATTTTAATGTTATCAAGAATATTTTGATCAAATTTAATCTAATTTAGTAGCAAATTAATTTGTCTAAATACGTGAAGGAATTTTGTATTCTATTTTAGCACTTAATCCTAGTTGTTGTCAAACCATTCCATTCCCAAGTGCATTTTATTCTCACGTAAATGTATTACTGCACAACAGATTTTACTTTGATAGTTAGAAACAAGAATATTAGCATATAAGAGTTCATCACACCAGGAGATTGGAAAATGATATACTTCATTAAGAGAATATATGTATTGTTAGGGGTGTTCAAATTTCAGATCGGCCGCAAGTTCCTACCCTACTCGACCCTACCCTACCCTACTGAACGGCTAGCTTCAAAAATCAGGTAGGAATGCGGAAGAGTTTTTGGTCTTCCGATAATTTTCAGGTAGGAATGTGGAATAGCCATCCATTTTCGCATTCCTACCCTACCCTACCCTACGCGCAATAATTTTTTAATATATATATATAAAAACTAAAAAAACCCTAAACCCTAACCACAAGCGGAGCAATTATGATTTTAATGTATTTCATATGATTTAAAGTTTAAACTTAAATTAATTGTTATTGTATTTGTGTAACAATTATGGTGGATTGATGTTCATACTTTCTTGTGTTTTATTATAATTGTTGATGTAGTTGTTTTAGATTTTAATGTTTATTGCTGTATTGTGTTGTTAAATTAGTGCATGCTATTTAATTAAATTGTTAAAATGATTCAAAAATTAATTGTTACAAAAATGTTTACCCGATTAATCGAGTAAGAAGTCGGGTAAGAATACCACACCTGTCGGGTAGGGTAGGCAAAAAAAAAACTTTTCGCAAAGTGTCGGGTAAAAAGACGGAAGAGTATATTTCTTACTCGTAGGGTAGGGTGAACACCCCTATGTATTGTTTTAAATCTTCACATCATCCTTCATTTTGTTTTAATCTCCCCACCCCCACCCCTACACATAAGGCACATTGACATTACAGAGCCTATGCATACACACAATATGTGACGAGCATTAAGTTATGATAAACAAGTATCATATCTATTCTTTTGACATGAGTATTCTATTTGATGAGTTTTCAAACAAATTATCATAGTAGCTGATAATCACCCATTTCATTAAGAAAAACATAGCATATATACATAATTATGATAATTTCTGTCATCTTCCCATACTCCTCCTCCTGTGATATCTTCATGTGCCATAATATGTTTTTCTCAATAAACTTATGTCTGTAACTCCAATATGATTAGCCTTGACACTTAGAAACTTTTGTCCTTGATAAGAAAGTCATATCTAAACTTTCAGCCTTGGTGAATCACATGATACTAATTGTCCAAGTAGTGTGGCTATAAGGCTTTAGGTGTGTTGGATACATGGGCAAAGGAGTATTGGATATTGAGCTGCATTTTTAATACGCACATGATCAAAATTGTGACAGACACATGTCCAAGAGTGTTAGACAGGTATTGGTGTCTGACACTAGTCCAATACCCACACTGACACCTTACTAGAAGTGTCCGTACTTCTTAGCACACGAGTTGTTTCCAACAATTTGGGGAGGCAAGTGTGTTCCAAATAACTTATTGAGACAATTTTAAAATAAATAAATTTTGCAGTACTTCCTGTAATGGGAGCCATTACATATTTGAAAACAAGTGAGTTGCTGCATTTCTTCCAAAAAACTTCGTTTTCTCAGGTGTAATAATTTAAGGGTCCAAAACAATGAAGTGTATTCGTAAATTATGGGGTTGCAGGTGGTTCTTGCTGTTCAAGGGAAAATCCCCATTCTCTTTGATGGAGGAGTGAGGCGGGGAACAGATATCTTCAAGGCCTTGGCTCTTGGCGCACAAGCCATTCTGGTAAACTTGTTTACTATTAAAAACCATTTGAAGTATTGATCGATGTACCTTTTCTTCAATTGCGAGATTCTCTTTCTCGATGTTGCCTGTTGACATTTGCTCATTTATATGTTCTTTTGATCTGCAGATAGGACGACCCATTATCTATGGGTTGGCAGCAAAGGGAGAATATGGAGTCAGGCGAGTCATTGAAATGCTGAAGGATGAGCTTGAGCTCACCATGGCCCTTTCTGGTTGCTGTACTCTCAAGGATATAAGCAGAAGCCATGTGAGGACAGAGCACGAGAGACGTCAATGTAGGCTCTAGTGACATTGTGAAGGGCTAAACCTTGCTTTGCAGATGGATGCTTCAGATCAACCACCATAAAGAAATAATTTGTTCAAGTTTTCCCATGCATTACTGTTTCGGATGTGCAGAGATGTGTGTGCACACTCAGTTAAGATATGGTGGCAGCTGTACAATGTTTCTGTTACCCTGTTGAGACTTGATAAGTGCATTTATATGTACGAGGGTGGAAAGAATTGGATGTGGGTAACCCCCTCCCTCCTTTTATCTCCAATTTCAAGTCTGTTACTTTTACAATGATCACTGTTGTCTAAAACTATGAATGAATAAGAGCTGCATTTGACGCACTAAAAGATTCCACCCCTCATTGAAAGCTCTTTGAATTTTAACATCAAACTAAAAACCATGTCTTCGATCCAAAGAAAAAACTAAAAACCGTGTCACAAAAAATCAACATAACTGAATGATTGCCCTTCTTATTATCAGAACGTGAATAATCCAAAATTTCATTCTATGAAACTTTGATGCAAATAACCAGATTAATAAGATACAATAAGTTCAAAAATTAACATATAACCGTGTCCTACTGAACAGTATATCTACATACATGACTTAATCCCAAGTAGGTTCAGGAATACCTAAACGCAAATTGACCTCCTTATCAATGGGCACAACCAAATTACAAGGGCTGCACCACAATATCTCTGTTTGGGGGGTAAATTAGCAATTTCTGTCGATGCCAACACAGCAACACCATCTCCCCGCCACAAAAGCTTTTTCTCTTTTCAAGAACTTCCGAGAGAGAGAAGGCTTTGAACCTCAGCCAAAGCATTACCACAAGGACCTAAAAGCAAGCTTCTTATCTTGACCAAGTGTTACAAACAGAGTTGTTATTCTACTTGACACCTTTAACTCCACAGGAGAACGTGATACCAACCAAGCCCAGGGCATGTGAACTTACTTGATCTGGACTATGCATTGCTAACAGAGTTACCCTTATTGGCACCTTGCAACTCCATAGGAGAATTGGTGATGCTACCAACTGAGCCAAGGGTCTGTGAGCTCAGCTGAGGGCTTGCCGGACAAGCGTCTGGATTACCAGCACTCATGGGATGGATAGCCCCAGAGCTCAGTTGCGGGCTCATTGAAGTTCGCTGATTCATTTGCTGTGGGCTAGCCTGCTGCTGCTGCTGCTGTTGGGATGGTTGGTTTTGTTGCAGTGGGATTCCCATAGTTGACGGCGAACCCACTTGAGAGGGTGAAACAACAGCCTGAAGTGGAGATGTTGTCTGTTGTTGCTGCTGTTGCTGCAATTGTTGTTGTTGCTGCTGCAATTGCTGTTGTTGCAACTGCTGCTGCTGCTGTTGTTGCAACTGCTGCTGTAATTGCAACTGTTGCTGCTGCTGCTGCTGCTGTTGGTTCATGTAAAGATTCATCCCTGTCATCAATTTTGGTGGACCCATTGGCCCCATTGCTGTTCGCTGCATTGGATTTATGTTGGCTCGATTCAGACTGGAGCCCAGCATTGAAAAACCAGTAGAGCCTGGTTGCATCTGTCTAGCCCCCGACAACGCACCAATACTTGATTGTGGCCCTCCCAACATGTTTGTTCTATTCTGCTGCATCCTAAGTTTTGTTGCCATTATAGCAGCTTGTGCTTGTGCCGGAGTAAGCGCCCCAGAACGGAGTTGCTGGCTTATTGCATTGCTAATATTTGTGGCTTGACTCAGATTCATCGGATTATGACCCACATTGCCCACGCCTGAGATAGGCCCCATAGGTGCCGAAATTCCAGTTCCTCCTACGCCCCTTGCACCGCCCATGCCAATGACATTGCCCAGGCCTCCAAGCCCAACCATGCTGTTGCCAATGTTTCCCGTACCTACAGTTCCAAGGCCCATCATCATTTTCCTCTGCATTGGTGATTGCTGTTGCTGCTGTTGTGGCTGCAGCTGCTGCTGCTGCTGTAATAGCTGAAGTTGGAGAGGGGAAGATTTGTTAACCATATGATTACCCAACTGCATATTTGAATTCTGCCCCATCGTATTCAATTGTGAAAGTGGATTTGCTGCAAGCGTTAGAGATGATCTCTGGAACTGATGCTGCTGTTGCATCAATGTGTGTTGACTTTGTTGTTGTTGTTGCTGTTGCTGCTGTTGCTGCTGCTGCCGCTGAGATGGATGTGGGTCAGATTGCTGAGGCCTAGACGTCATTGAAACCCCAGGCAAGAGTCCTTGAGAGATCTGTAGGGCCTGAGCATTTCCAGGTGGAAGCATCCTCGTGCTTGGTATATTCTGGGCCGAGTTCAGAGATGCATTACCAGTGCTAGATGGCTTTGCAACTTCATTCTGTGGTTGACCTGAAACTGCTTCTGTCTGTTGCATCTCAACTCCTGCGTTATTAGGGGGGATTTCAGGAGCATTATATTGACTGCTTGGCGCACGATTCACACGGATTGATTTCAGTTGGACATGATCTTCCATGAGATATCCTTCACGTGTCATCTGCATATGCAGATCATATTAGGTCTTACACTTCCAAAATCTATCAACTCTAAACCAGTTTTGTCGGAACATACCAGCGAACAGAACTGTGCTGCAAGCAAGTCTGCAATGTGCTGTTACAAGTATAAAATGTATGTAAGGCAAAAGGATACAAAATACATAATTGCTGACACAATCATTGTGTGATAGGAATTTATATGATGAAAAATTGAAACTTGATGCATCTCAAAAGCTTCCAGACCCTCTTAGTAAGTGCCCTTTTACCCAGTCCAAGAGGTGGCACATGCAGGAAACTGTAAGAGTGCCTCCCAGTTTGGTTCAAGGAAAAACCAAGTTGAACACTTTCAAAGAAAACCGATGGCACGTACACCATCTGGATCAATGCCAGCTCCCCATGATACCTCTAAAATATGCATTATGAAGGAAAATTTCATTTTCTGACAAAAAAACAAAGAAGAGAAAATTCAAACAGGAAAGAGAGAGTGGAAACACTTGCTATCCTGCCTGGCTGACCCAAATTCTCAGACAATACTCCAATAATCCAAGAGGCAGGTTGCAGTTAAATGCAAAATTGTTTTAGAGTAGTACATGTGGAGCAAGAACCCCCCCCCCCAATTTTTTCTTTCATTCTCTTCTCTCCAAAATAAACCCTAATATGATGTATGCATACACCAAAACAAGAGGAAATCTATGCAGAGGTATGCACCATAAAAAATTACACTGCAAACTCACTGTATTGGGCAATGTAGGCAGATAATCCTCTACAGCCAAGTAATCTGCATCATCTATTTCTCCATAATGGATTGCTACATTGCCATCATTTGGCTTCTCTGACATGATCATTCTAGTCCGTACCTTAGGAACAATAGAAAAACTATTTCCTGAGGGATAAAATGGAATGGTCAGCAAGGGAAGTATCAATTAGACATAGCAAATGCTAGAGATCTAACTCCTTGGTACACAACAAACCTTGAAGTATGCGCTCTTTCTGCATAAAATTCATGACTCTAGTCTTGCAAACATTCATACTGCCACCTACAAGTGACTTTGACAATGGCATTTTGCATGTTTCATCTTTAAAATTCTCACTAGTGGAATCACCGGAGAGATGAAGCAACAGCTCTTGAGAAGGGTACGTATTAGGTTTCCTGATGGTGTACTCATCAACCTTATTCTTTTTGCAATTAAGTTGAAACCTGAAACAGAAACAGAAACAGATTAAATGTGCATAATAAAAACAGTATGAGACTCATTATGCAAGCATCAATATCATGTTTAAGATGAATGCTCAAGTCAAAATAATATGAAGTAAGGAAACCAAAAAGAAAACAGAAAAATTGCCTTAATGAAGCGGGTGATTGATTGGTATTATACCTCATAGTCACCATTTCTATTTTTGAGAACCTCTCAAGCATGGCTGAATCAGCCAAAGGTGGGGTTCCAACAGGAGGGCTGCTTGCACTTAATGGAACATTGCTATTACTTACACTAGCAGGAGACGCAACTCCACTCATCGCTGGGGTCTTGGGGAGGGAGTTCGACCTCCGCTTCGCAGCAATTTGTGCCGGATGTTGCCGCTGCATGGAATCATTCGCACTGGATGTCAAAGATGTTGCGCCACCAACTGCAGGAACTGAGGTCACTACTGACTTCTCCTTTTGGGATGATCCAATTATGGCAGTTGCTGCAACTGCTCCAAATTGGGGTCCAATTGAACCGCTAGAAAATTCCCCAGATTTTGATGACAAGGGAGATTGAGGTAATCCCACACCAGAGACCCGGGGACTTTGCACTACTTTCCTTTTCTGGAACTGGTCCTCTTTTCTAGAATTATTATCAAGAGGCTGACCCAGATTATTCCAGGGATTCTGAGGGAAACCGGATCTCATAAATTGTTGTGGCAACCTTTGCTGTATTCTTGACTGCTGGGAGTCCATATGGTTTACTTCTGATTCCAGCATGTGCATTTCATTTTTATTTCGATTGAGCTCCGCCTTGTCCAATCTATCTGTCTCAACCGATTCTTCCTTTAAACTATATCTGATCGCTTGCTGCCCCACAGTAAATGGCATTGCCCCAGCCTCTTGATTGAAATTCCCTTCAAACATTTGCTGGGGATACTTTTGCATGCCAGAATTTGCATAGTGCATTCCTCTTGCCAATGATTGCTGCTGTAACAGTGCATTTTTCCAGTGTGAATCTGATCCATGGAAACCGTCTACGTAAGGCCCTATATGCTGCTGCTGACTACCATCAGGACCCACTGGCATAAGCCTTGACCTCTTATTCATATTGGATAAGGGAGACAATTGCCCATCTTGATTTTCCCTCTTACCATGAATAGAAGAAGCATTAGAGTTCATATTTTCGGAGTATGAGATAATCAAGTCCGACCCAGCAGAAGAAGCTCCGGAAGCATTCAAGACAGGACCCCCTGAACAGTGATCAGGCATAATTCTTGTGTCTACAACCCCCATCTGATATTTTGACTGGTGAGATACCATAGATGACATGGAAACAGAGGCATCTGGTCCAAAACTTTTAGGTCTTGACTCAAGCACAAGGCTTGGACCAATGTTTTGGGGATTCAGATTCTCATGGACAGGTGGCTGCATTATGAGTCCTGAGTCTCTCAACCTTGAGCTTTCGGGTACTCTATCTATGCACACTTTTTTCCCATGGATGTTATTATTAGACGTGATTGTGACTTCTGGAATCTGCCTCAATTTTTTCCTCCGCATACTGCACAGATCCAAATTTAACTGCAAATAGAGTTCAACAGAGTTCATCTACGAGCAATACTCTCCTCCAGCCAAAAATGAAAAAATTAAGCTATATCTTAGTCACCTTAGATGGAACTGGGCTGTGACAGAGTCTATCCAACTTTGGAGTTGGGTCTAGGCAAAGCTGTGGTTGTAGGGCTTTCAATATCCGGGACTCAACTTCCTGCAGCCAAAATGAATCAACATAAATAATGCAGCCTCCTTTTGGCCAAGGAGGATAGAGTGAGTATACTTACCATCAGATCACCATATGTCCAAGCATTATCAGAAATCAGTGGAATATCCTTCACTACATTCTCCAACGACATTTTAAGGCGTATTTTGTTAATGACAGGACAAACATCCCCAGAAGGAACATTAACGCGTGGTTCAGAAGTGCACTTCCGATAATCTCGCACCTGCAATAATAGCCCCATCACAAATTTAAGACCAAGCATCTTTGATGATCATTACCCATAACACTCTTTAACCACCAATTGGTGGGAATGCAGACAATCAAGACTATGCAGTGTAGTTTACTAAAACAATCTTACCACACCATCTCAGACTCATGCCAGCTCCTTGAGGTGAGGAACGATATCAGTAAAACAATTTTTTTGTAATACTACAATGTATGTTTGTTTTCTTTTTTCTTAAAACAGAATGTACTGTTTTCATCCAAAGCATAATTTCTGTGTTTCCATAGATCTTATAACGCAAGCAGATGAGTACAGGAGATGGAGTGCTGGCAGCTATAGTTCAGAAGCTGATCCAAAAGTAAGAGGCATCCATAAGGCATAATTGAACCCACCCACGGTATAGCAGTAGTGGTGTAGGTAAGTGCTGTAGTGAAGATAGAAAAACAGTTGATATATACAAAGCAAGGGGTGCAATGAAAAAACAATGGGAGTAAGGGAGGGGGTGTGAAACTGTATAGGCTGGGATCTAATAGAAGTACAACTGAAAACAAGAAATATTTTGCTACATTTTCCAAGTCCATCAATTGTTTTATGAAAAAACAGTGAAGGTATTACACTAATGAAAAAACCAAGCTTTGCACATATCTCCAAGAAACAACAGTTAACTATGATGTATTGACGCTAAAACGGATAAATTGAATTAAGGACATCTTTTTAAGTTCACAATCAAGTTCCGAGGTAGTATTTCAATTTTAACAAGAGTTATTCTGTTTTTATTTTTTATTTTTTTTTGTTGAATATTTGTAATGGAATTCGCCTCAGGTTTCCTGGCTAAGGAAGTCTAGTTTGGAAATTTTCTAGATTTATTCAACATGCTTGTACCCCAAAATAAATCGTTGCAGAAATATGAGTTAATAAGCTGATAAACATAGGGTAGACACATTTTAAGTTAATAATAAAAATGAAGAGATTCGGTGACATGTTTCACTCCATCTCTCAAAAAATGTTCCATCTATCTCACACTCCCTCTCCCTTTTTCTAATCATTTATGAACAATATACATGAAAAACACGTGTGTGCACCCTTCAAATTCCTCCCTCCTCCCCTCTCTTTTTGTACTATTCTCTCTCTCTCTCTTTTTAATTTTTGCCTTGAGGAAAGATCAGAGTGGATGGAGAAAGAATTGCTTGAGCCCACACCTTTGCTGCAGGGGTAGCCCCATGGCCACTTAGGTAGGGTAACCACTAGGGACAAACATATACTAAATTACATCAGGGTGCTTCTTGCTCTATAAATGCATACTTATACATGGCCAATATTGTTGCTTTTTACACACATACAGATTCATGCATTAATGTAAGATTTTGCCTACCTAATTCTGAAGTCAGAAAATTTACCTCACAAGCAAGTGTCCCATCAATGTACTTGCAGGGTATGTCATCCAAAATATCTCCAGGCAATCGGCCAGACTCAATTGCCTAGATGTATAAATTCACCGAGCAAAAATAATTAGTAAAAGGAAACGTTGCAGTTGACATAAACTACAGCAGATTTCCATAAGACACAGAAGCTTGGAAAAAAAGGAGCTCTCAAGACTTTTATTGTGACGGAATTGATTCATTTTTTATGAAAAAGAACTACATAGTTAGGCAACTCTTCAAGTTTGATTTTTTTTGTTCTTCTTTATTTGCACAGTGCAATTAAAATGGTCACCATGTGACTGAGCCAAGACCATCAGTGCATGGAAAAAAAATCATAAGATGTACCGCACCAAATTCAACCTTATCATGCAAAGTGAAAGATCCAATGCAATGATTTCCTAGTTGACTAATCAATTGATTGAGCATGAGCTGTCTATACAAGAATCAGAAAGTACAAAGTACCCCAAGTTCATATAATGCAACAGCACTAGATAGGACCTAAGATAAGCCAGAAGCTGAAAAAAATTAAAGAAATATTTCAAGTATACACTTACTGAGAACAGAGTTTCGGAAGCCCTATCATATGGCAGTAAAAACTTTGAAACATCTTGAAGGTTAGTCTGATGGCCGGTTTCATTCTGAAATTTCATTAAATATATAGAATTAGTCACAACTTATACCAATGCTTCCAAATATTCTATTGGGTGTCTAATTTTTGATGCACAAAGTGAAAGCAGTTTGGAACAAACCTCAGAGTGTTTTCCAATAGAATATCCATCTGGGAAGAGGTTTAATGTGAAGGAAACCTCAGAATCTATGAAAATACAGAAGAATAATCAACATATTTGGTCGAGAAATAAACAAAAAAAAAATCAACATATACAGTGCACAAAAGAAACAAGTCACCATTGAAAAAACTAGAAGTTATTTCTTAGCATAAGAAAGAGTTCCTTCAGATGATATTAGTTTACCTGATATTGCAGCAACATCCTTGTCCCCCTCATTGATGTCAGCCTAAATCAAGAAATAGTAGATATTATCAGAAAAAAAAAATGAAATATCAAAATTTATACTAAGCTGGTATAAATTTTTGCTCATTTGATGACCACTATATAAACATGTATAGTGATAAAAGTGAGAAAAGACAAGGCAATTTTTTAAGGTGAAAAAAAAAATCCATCAGCTCCTAGAAGGAATAAAAAAAAAAAAGGCTATGCATAAAAAAATGTCATCCTTTTCAACAATTACTATTCACGTTCATGGATTTTCTTTTTCCAACATTTCCTAGAACAAAGCATAGATTTGTTTTTGGTTAGGCCCAATATTATCGGCATACGGGAAAAAAAATTAAAATTCAAAATCAATTTTATAGCTTTTTCACGTTTTCAGCAACCAAAGAGACCTTAGCCAATAGATTCAACAACAGACCTTGTCAGAAAAAAAAAATCCAACAAAAGTATTTCAAAATCTCCACAGAATTCTCCTAATAGAAAACTATCGATGTTCCAAAAAGATAAAAAACTATTAGATGGGGCTGCCAGGGTTTGAATCCCATTACAACCGTTTATCGATCACATGAAAAAAGGAAGCTAAAAAACAAAGCAAATAACTTCAAAGATTTAACTTTCACACTATAATCCGAAATAAACCCTGATTAACAAATTATGCAATCAATAAATAATGAATTTCACAAGAAAAACACTGACGCTCCGTTCCGTTTGATCACCAAAAAAAGTGATAGAAAATGAGAGAGAAGAAACTGAAACCATATTAAGCAAAGTAGTCGAGTTGGTCCTCAATCGTGTTCAAAAAATTTACTTGATGCACATCAACCAGATAGATTATTAATAATAATAATAATAATCCAACGACAATAGAAAAGAGTAATGGCAATAATAATCATACCAGGAGCTTTCTAGTAGATGTGGAAGTGGATTCATTTCTGCGGATGCCGAGGATTTGATTGTTTTCCTTCGAAGTCTCAACGACGTTGTCTTCAAAAACAGAGGTTTCGAATTGGGGGGGTTTTGAGCGAAACCTCGAACCGGTCTTGGAGACCTTAAACGAAATCCCCATTTACGGGGTCTCTGAGATTTAGTTTTTATTTCACGCTCAGTAATTTGAGGGGATACAAAGCAAAAACCCTAACGTGTGGTGTGTACCTTGTGTTAGTATGACTATACTCAATAAGAGAGAGATCTCTATAAAAGAATTGTTTCACAGGAAATCATATACATAGAGAGAGACTTCAGACGCGGTGCTTGTGTAAAGCTCTGAGTCTGGTTCTTGCAACATTGTGCACAGAGAGGGCATTGGGTCTTCTGGTTCTTGCTTCGAGTGTTCCAGGCCGTTAGAGGTGGGCTTGGGCTTTGGACAAAATGGAATTGTCTAAAGAAATTTGGAGGCCTGTCCCAGATGAACTTATTCCTGCAAGAAAATTTATTTAGTTTTAAATTATTTTTTGATAAGTTTACTATTGTTCCCTTATTCTTTGAAAAACCACAAACGGCATCAAAGTTACCGTCTCTTTACCAGACGGAGAAACCCTCTAATGTCGCCACTGTACATCAAAATCTTCCCCTTCTTTCTAGCCTACAAGTTCAGCAAAAATGTTTAAATCTTTTTGAGTTTTCTTCTCCGAAAACCCTTAACCGTCGTTACCCAAACCGTTTCTATTCAAATTTCAAACAAGTTATAGACTATAAGAGTAAAATTCGATTTTACTCTTTAAGTTTCATTGGTGAAGTTATAGTTATTTTCTTTGCATTCAAAACATCTTCACAAACTTTGGGATTCATAAAAAAATTGAAAGGTATGTGATTTTACATGATTTGATGTTTATTTTAGGATTTTAAAAAAACCTTTACATACTATATCGTTCAAACTGTCAACAATTTTTTTTTTTAAATTGTGATTCCTTGTTACTTTATTAAATTGTTATGTATTATGATTTTGTTGTTTCTTCGTTGTGTAATACATTCGAAATTCCTTGGTTGTGTTTCTCTGGAATATATCATATTACTGTGTGAGTACTTCAAAATGTATTTCATAATGTCGATATCTTGATGTTCCTGATTGGTGTTTAGTGTATTAATTCAACTATCGATGATTTGTTACTATTAAAAATTTTGTAAATTTTCAATTTGTGAATTGTATTTTCACTATAATCTTTCGAAAATTGATGTTACTATGAACACATATAATCTTGTAGTTTGTGAAAGTCAATATATTACTGAGCACAATACTTTGATGTTATTGTGAAAATTAAAAATGTATGTTACATAATATATGTCTAAACTGTTTGCAATTGAAAGTGAAAATTGGGGTTGGACAATGTTATGTATAGTGTAATCTTCAAACCATAAAATTGTAACATGTGGACTCTAAAATTGTGTTTGTCTGATGTTACTCAAGATGATGTTATTAAGATTTAGTTAATAATTTAATGTTACTAACCTAATGTTACTATGGTTACATCACGTAATTTGGTGGAACTGTTCATGAACAGGAAATAGAAGAGAAGTTGAAACCAACACCAAGTTAACGCTCTACGGATACATATGGTGATTACATTCATAAACTAGAGGAATATATGGATTGTTGAAGACTATGAGACAATATCAAAATTGAAAACAAAAATACCAAAAAAATCAGAATTGGTGATGTTGTAAAGCTATTCATTCTTTAGCTAATTGTAAGTTCGATTAAAAGTTAGTTGTAATTGTTTACAGGTTGGTACTTGGTTTAAATGGACAATTCAAACATGTAGAATTGTGGTTGCGATGTTACATCTTGATATTAAATTGATATGTTGATGTAGGTTAGGGAATTTATTTGTAATAGAATGTTTGGTAAACAAAGGAAACTCTGTCTAATTTGTAAGTCCAATAGTAACTCAAATAGTAACATGTGAAAAAATGTTCTAACTTACATAATCATTCGATTTTAGAATGTTGAACTTGTGTTGTGTGTGAAAATGATATGTTAAAATCAATAAATTTGTAATATTGTTGCACGATTGGTTACTGTCTCTAATGATCATCAAATAGTAACCTTGGCAGTAATAGCATTAGTAACACAATGTGTCACAATGACGGTAACATGGATCATATGTTGTCCATGCGAGAAGAATACTACATTATTAACTTATCACGCTGCATAATTCATTATATTCCCAATGTGTAACATTATAAACTCGGATACTGAATCAAAATCAACAACAAATTTGAATTTGAATTGATAAGATAAACTTGTGATTTGAATTAATTCGTCAATCAAGAAATCTTGATAAGGAAATCTTGTTGTCCAATTATACACATTTCATATATTCTTCAGTTAATTATCAGTATTTTTAATGAAAAATGATTTCCATATATAACTCAAACTAAGGTTTCCATATATACTTTAATGATCTAACCTATTTGACTTTCCATAACTAGTTAAAATTAACATCGTTAGGGATAATATTGATATTTTAAAAAAAAAGTGGACTTAATAACTAATAGATAAATTTAAACATGGACTTAGACTCCAATAAGTTGTTTTGCCGGACTTATCTCCAAACAAGCCCATTTAGGGGGACTTGTTAAGAATAGTCCGATTGTTTTAGTCCACTAAACACCGATTAGGGTGGGCCCAACAGAATTTTTGGGCCTTATTTTCTTTGGGTGGACTAGCCTGACTAACCATGTTCAGTGACGGGTCATGGACAGACGTCCTGGCCCAATTCAATGTGGACCTTAGTCCGCTTGTGAATCACACTTTTATTTGTTTTTTAACGAAATTTCATCCCGGTAATTTGTGTTTACTTCAAAATTGTTGTCCTGGTCTATTAAGAAAAGTGGACTTAATAACTAATAAATAAGTTTAAACATGGACTTAGACTCCAATAAGTTTTTTTGTCATACTTATCTCCAAACAAGTCTATCTAAGGGAACTTGTTAAGAATAGTCCAATTGTTTTAGTCCACTAAACACCGATTAGGGTAGGCCCGAGGGAATTTTTGGGCCTTATTTTCTTTGGGTGGACTAGCCTGCCCATGTTCAGTGACAAGTCATGGACAAACATCCTGACCCAATTCAATGTGGACCCTAGTCCGCTTGTGAATCATACTTTTATTTGTTTTTTAACGAAATTTCATTCTGGTAATTTGTGTTTACTTCAAAATTGTTGTGTCACAAATTAGGAGTGGTCCTTTTTCTTTTTTTTTTGGTTTAAACGTCAGGAGTGTCCATGTTAACTTACGCGCATCTTGATTAATTTCTTCTTCGATTATCAAGATTTGAATTTTGAATGTCTGAGTTTACTATTCATCTCTGTTACCACTTAAGTACTCTTGAGACTATTAGGAATGGTCTTTTGGCATAACCGTACACGTTAAACTACAAAAGTACATACAAATCCCATAAGAGTGAAAGGGATAAGAGATTATATTCTCTATTTGACAATAAAAAAATATACACAATATTTGGAACATTTATGTCAGATCCAAGTTCCATCTAAGAAGACATTATCGAATGTGAAGATCATAAAGCTTGAGGGAAAAATTGAAAGACAAAAAGATTTGTGGACTTTGAAACAGAGACTTCATAAACATGGCATCAAGCAACAACTGTTAAAAGGGTGTAGAGGGAATCCAAAGGCACTAAAGATAACGGTCCAACCACGTTATCATTGACATGAAATATTATCTTTCAACAACAACATAACATGTGTAAGAAATAGGAAAATTTGGAGGCCGGTCTCCTTATATGGACTTATTTGAAAATAAGTCCGTTAAAAAAAATTATATGGTTTTAAGTCCGTTTTTTGTTAATTTTACTATTGTAATAGTTCCCTGTAAGAATGTTATAAACGACGTTTATGGACACAATAACCAGTCATATACATCTCATTCATAATCGCCTTTAAATCCAATTACAATCTTCCAAGTCATAATGTTTCTTTATTTGAAAAACAAGAAACCGATATTTATCAAAAATCGTTCATATTCAAATTTCAAACTCATTACATACCATAAAATACAATTTCAATTTACTTTAGAATCTATCGACAAAATATTAATATTAAATATTAATATTTAAAAAATAACAATAATAACATACTCAACAAAAACAATAACATGATCACTAAAAAAATAGTAGCATGCTTACAAAAAAATAGCAATATGGTAAAAAAGTAATAACAATTAGGGATTTAATTCTGTCAAAGTAGACATTAACCTAGTAACCAAGATTCAAGAGAACTCATACATTAGTACTAAATGAAAGTGTTATAGAATTGGATTTTGTTGATTTTTTTATTGCGCAAGACAATCAAGTATTCCTTGATTGTGTTACTGTGGAAAAAGTTCATATTACTGTACGTGAACCGAAAAATGGAATTCAGAATTTCGATATCTTGATATTCGCAATTAGTGTTGATTGTCGTAATTCAACTGTCAATAATGTATTACTACTCGTCATTTTGTAAATTTTCAATTTGTGAATCGTATTTTCACTAAAATCATTCAAAAGTTGATGTTACTGTAAAAAAACTATTGTCTTGTATTTTATAAAATTAGATGTGTTATTAAGCACAAAACTTTGTTGTTACTGTAAATATTAAAGTGTATGTTATATAATATACGTCTCAAGGTTTGCAATTATATGTTAAAATTCGTTATAGTAACATTAGTGTCAGTATAGTAACACGACTGTACTACTAACACGATCGTAATTGTAATTTCAATTATATAGTAACATGAATCTTACTATATATTAACATTCGTGTTATTAAACTCTATTGACATTTTTCAGCCTTTCTATATTATGCATTATTGTTGTTAAGGAAATTTTGTTATCTAATTTTGACTTAATAGACCAACAATTTATTCGTACATTAAATGTCTTATATATAACTATCAGAATATATAACTTTCATATAAAACTTTCGTTAATTATCATAATATTTAATAAACGATTTCCTTTTATAACTCAATCAAGGATTTTCATATGTATTTCAATGATCTAACCTATGTGACTTTCTATAACTGGACAAAACTAACACCGTTAGGGGTAATTTTAACAATTAAAAAATAAGTAGATTTAAGTACCTACATATAAGTTTAAACTTGAACTTACCCCCAAATAAGTTTCTTTCTAGAACTCAAGTCATTATAAATACATCTACAGAGACTCACCCTCAATTTTCATAATTTTCTATTGTATTGAAGAGAGTCTGAAGCCCAAATATACAGTCCAAATCAACTAATTAACTTTACATTGTGCACCAAATTAG